AAAAAAAAAAAAAAAAAAAAAAAAAGCTCTTGGGTAAATGAGATTTGAAGGATGTGATGTGTGTTTTTACCGTGAATTATTTACTCCACTTTGTAAAAGGTTTCACCAATTATTGTCCATATGGATAATGTAATATACCAATAAAATTCACTCTTTCTGACACCTTTTTCATCCACTTTTATAATTCTCTATCAATATTTCTACAAAATATTAAACAAAAGGTGAAATACTCAACAATTTTTTTAAGAAAAATGGTTTTAAGTAAATGGTGTTAGATGAAAGTCCCACATCGACTAATTTAAAGAATAGTCATGAGTTTATAATCAAGAAATACTCTCTCCGTTAACGTCAGACTTTTTGGGGAAGCTCAAAGCAAAGCCATGAGTGGTCATACTCAAAGTAGACAATATCATACCATTATGTTCATATGACTAATGGGTTTAAATAGATTATATATTTTTATTATTAGAGATCATATCTTTAAATTTATGATAGAGGCCGATTCTCAAGCGAAATCTATACCTAATTTGATTGAAGTATTCAAATTAACAATAATCATTATAAAAAGACTTAGACGAACATTATATTAATACTGTACCGTTCGTCTTAAAAATAAAATATCATATATTATGTACTAAAAATGTCTTCTTTTTAATAAGTACTCACAGCTTTGATTGGCTTGCAAGAAAGTGAAAAGAAATGTGTGCAAGCCAGTTTTTTTTTTTTTTGGGGTAAAATTTGACTTTTTGGCTTTTGATTTTTTTAAATATTTTTTTTTAGTTATGAGTACGAGAATTTAAACTCTAACAATAAAAAATAAAATAGTGAAAAAGTTAATGTCAAAGAACTCGTAGCGTTTGCGCGTCAACTTCCTCATTAGCGTGTGAGATTCTCTTAGTCGGCTCTACGTTGCATTATATAATACTCTTTATATTCTTTATTTTTAATTTTTGTGGCCTTTATTCTTTTTTAACTCTTAATTTATTGTTTATGGATTAGTTTCTTATCCTCGAAAATCATGTGAATTAATTAACCAATTATTTAATGATTAGGACTAACCCTTGTTTTTATAGAATTAAAATGTAATGGTTTGCGAGGGAATTATAATAATTAAAATAAAATTAGTTTTTTTAACTAAATTTTCACGATGTAAAAAAAAAAATTAAAATCTAATTTGATTTTCTTTATGGTAATAAATGAAATTAAATTGCAAAAGATTTAAAGATTTTAATTTTATTTTATTTTCCAGAATTTTCTCTCGTCAATTTAATTACGCCTTATTGGCGGTCCTTCACCGACTCCTAAAAGTTGGTACCAAATCAAATATTAAGGGAGTTTTAAAATTACGATTTTACCCATAGAATGTGCTTTATTCTCCATTTAAAATAAACATGACACGTGGTAATACCCCTATTTCTATAATCTTAGCCTGTCAACTTGGACTAATATCAAATTTTCCTATATATTATAATACGTTACGTCTAAATTATTTTACGGTTTAAGAAACAAATTTAACCGATCCATTTTGATATAAAAAATGACATTTTTGTGTAAGTCATTTAAAATTTAAAAATTTCTTTCTTATTCCAAAATTAAAATTCATTATTTGACTTTTACGGTTGACTTGATTGCCGTATTAATATTTACATTGGAATTGAATTCATTCAAGATTACTTATTTCACAAGTAACTACAGAGAGATTGACGAAAAGACGGTTTTATCCAAATTATATTAAAAGTAAATGTTGTTTATTTATAATAGTTTGGTTAAAAGATGAATTAATCCCTAATTTGGAATGAATTTGAAATCAATTAATTTGGACTTCTAATCTGTTTCCACCGTGAGAAAATAAGACAATAAATGGATTAAAAAAGAGTGGGAAAACATAAAAGGAATGTGATTGGATGGAATTTGAGTTAGGCAAGGGACAACGTGGCCATGTGTGAGAAATTGACACGTGTCAAAGTATATCTGACTTGGCCAATATTTCGAAGAAACATGAAGAGAAAATATGTTAGTTGGTAACTAATTTCTCCTCCAAATTTCCCCCACACGCTACCCATTTTCGATTTTTTAAAAATAATTTTATCAAATAATATTTTTAAATTAAATATTTTTCATTTTTTGTTTATTTTTAACCTCTATTCTTTTAATACATCAATTTTAATTATTTTGCTTTAGTTTATTTTCAAAATATTTATTTTGATATGGATTAATTTGAACAAATTATTTTTTATTTTTTAATCATAATTTCAGCAAAATTTAATTTAATTTTTATTATTTTTACTTACAATTAGATTATTGTATATTAAAAAAAATAGATATATAAAGTAAAAAAATAAAATAAAATTATCGGTAGGATTTGCTTTTGCCAAACAAATTCAACAAACTCTTTTTTAATTAAAAATATTTAATATTTAAGCAAATTTATCCAAATATATAATTTTAAAATTATAATTTTCTCGTTAATGTTACTAGTTTTAGACTTTAGTAGGCTTTAATAAGTATGAACAATTGGTTAATCATATCGATATCACATTAGATACCACGTCACCATTACATCAAAATTATATATATATATATATATATATTATTTAATATCACCCGCTAGGAAGTTGTTAGAATTAATAAATTATAGACCTAATTTCATTTTAGCCTAAAATCTTCTCTACTTAAACGTCTCAACATTAATTATTTTTATATAGTTTTTAAGGTATGGTTGATACCATTCCAAAAATGGTATGATACAAAATGATATGAATAACACAAATTTAATATTTGAATATTATTAATTTTCCAATAATTATTTAGCTAACATCGCTACCCACCCACAGTGCTATCCAATTTAGTTATTTTAAAAAAATTAAATATGATGAAATTCCAATTATACCCTCACGGTAAGTGAATTTCGATATTGGTTGTCATGTAATTTTAATATTTAGTAATAGGAAATGGAATAATTAAAAAGTATTGGACGTAAATGAAAAGAAAAAAAAGTAGTGCGGGGATTATTGAATAAAAGAAACATATTATAAATAAATAATAATAATGAAAGGAAGGGAAATGGAAACGAGGTAACCGACAGGTGGCGGTGAGGGGGGTGTCGCAATCGAAGAGAATGGATTTTGGTAACCGGTTGAATGAAGGAAGGAGGGAAGGGAAGGGCGTTTTTAAACGGAAGTGGCTGTCACAAAGTACTGCATGAATGTTCCTCTCCCCTTTGTACACGTGTGAAACTATATTTCCACTGATTCAATTCTATGCCCTTTTTTGTCCTTTCCTTTTCCTTTTCTTTTTCCTTTTTTTTTAATAAATTTTAATTTCACCTGTCAGATTATCACTCCCGGATTTTGCCCCTTTCATCCACGCGTCTCCCATCGCGCGTGCCCATCTATCCCTTCTTTTCTTCTTTATTAAAATTATAAATAAAACCAATATTTTAATATTTTTATTTTTTTGAATAATACAAAACAAATACAAATAAATGAGACATTTATTTGAGTGACGCATTCCATAACAACTCTTTCTTTAATAATATTTTTTCAATTTTGTTCTTAATATCAATAAAGCATAGTTTACCAACACAAATCGCCAAATTAATAATAATAAAAAAAAATCATAATCATATAAATAGAAAGCACGACGTCATTTAATACATACCATAAAAATTAGTTTGAAATTAATATTATTTAATGAAGGAAAAAAAAACATATTTTGAAAATCAAGGGAAATGAAGCAGACGCGCGGTAGATGAGAGTAGGGAATGAAGCGAAAGTTTCGTGAAAAGTAAGGAGCATGGGTTGGGTCGATCCATCTCTCGTCTCATCCAACGGCCCACATTTTTTTAAAAAGAAAAAAGAAAAAAAAAACAGAGAGGTATTTGATAGAAGGATAGAACAGAGGATGGTGGCCGGTGGGGTTGAAATTTTTGAAAAAAGGCTGTTTCTTTAATCTTCTTCCCTGATTCCTCTCTTTCCTTTTACTCTTTCTTTTTATATAATTTACATTCTTCCAAATTCTCTCTTCCCCTTTCATTCTCTCCGCCGTTATCGCCACCGCGAAAGGCAGAGGATTACAGAGATGCAGTCAGGTTTCACCGGCGGTGGACCACCGGATTTCTATACTTCCGGCAGATCCATGGCGAATCCTTCTCATCCTAATCCTTACCGATCCCAGCTCTCCGGTGGGGCTTTCGTAGATCCGACTATCCCTCAGATCGCTCGCCAAATACCCTCTTCTTTGCTCGGTAAACGGAATCTCTCCGATCTTCACTCTCTTAATCAATATACCCACCATAATCTTCCGGTCAATAATCTCTTCCTCCGCTCTGTTAAGCCCAGAGCCGGATTCAGTCACCCGATTTCTCCTCTTTCCAATTTCGATTTGTACTCCACTATGTCTCTGCCGTCGTCGGAGGTTCAGACCCACCGTCTTTATGGGTCGTCCTCTGCGGCGGTTCTTCAGCAGCTCCGTCAACAGCCCAACTCTTCGGCGGTGACGCTCAGGGATTTGCAGAATCTGGACTCGGAGAAGAAGAAGATGATGAATCACCGCCTTCAGGAGTTGGAGAAACAGCTTCTTGAAGATAACGACGACGATGATGGAAGTGATGCGGCGTCTGTGATTACGAGTTCGACTAGCGCTTGGTGTGAGACGATGTATAATCTAATTAGTCCGACGGCGCCGCCGAATCAGAAGCCGGTTTCCACTTCGCCGACTACCTCTGCTTCGTCTTCTTGTTCTTCGTCTACGTCGTCCTCTGTAGCTTCTCCGTCCTCTGATTCTTGGAAACAGTCTGTAATCGAGGCTGCGGCGGCGATTTCTGAGGGGAAATTGGATGTTGTGGATGAGATTCTTGCGCCGGTGGTTAAGATTTCGAATGCGAGAGGTAGTTCTGTGCAGAGATTGGCAGAGTATATGGTTTTCGCTCTGAAATCGCGGGTTAATCCAGCGGAATTTCCGCCTCCGGTGGCGGAGATTTTTGGCGACGAGCACTCGGCGGCGACTCAGTCGCTTTACGATGTTTCTCCTTGCTTTAAGCTTGCTTTCATGGCGGCGAATCTCGCGATTCTTGAGGCGATTGAGGAAGAGGATCGGAAATTACACATTGTGGATTTCGATATCGGGAAGGGAGGTCAGTATATGAATCTAATCCACCTTCTCTCCGGTCGTCAGAAAGGGAAGGTCGTTGTGAAATTGACGGCGGTTGTGGCGGAGAACGGCAGAGACGAGAGGTTGAAACACGTCGGCGAGTCACTGAGTCAACTAGCAAAAGAACTCGGCGTCGGGTTCAAATTCAACATGGTAAAACAAGAACCATCGGAGCTGACGCGCGAGTCACTCGGGTGCGATGCAGATGAATCACTAGCAGTGAATTTCGCATTCAAGTTATACCAGATGCCGGACGAGAGCGTGTCAACGGAGAATCCCCGGGACGAGCTTCTCCGGCGCGTGAAGGCGTTGGCACCCGCCGTCGTGACGGTAATGGAGCAAGAATTAAACACGAACACCGCCCCGTTTGCAGCGCGCGTGAGCGAGTCATGCATCTACTACGGCTCGCTGTTTGACTCGATCGACTCAACCGTGTGGTGCGACCACCCGGACCGGGTCAAGGTGGAGGAAGGGCTCGGGCGGAAGCTTGCGAATTCGCTGGCTTGCGAAGGTAGAGAGCGCGTGGAAAGATGCGAGGTTTCAGGGAAGTGGCGGGCCAGAATGGGGATGGCCGGGTTCGAGTCTAGGCGGATGAGTGAAATGGTAGCCGAGTCGATGAAAACCCGGCTGAGTTCAGGGTACCGAGTCAACCCGGGGTTCACCGTTAAAGAAGAAAACGGAGGGATTTGCTTCGGTTGGATGGGTCGGACGCTCACCGTCACAACCGCATGGCGTTAGTTAACAACATCACTCATTGCTATGTTTTTTGTTTTTGTTTTTTTTTTTTTCCTTTTCTTAATATTACCTAATTTTCTAAGGTATCAATATTAATATTAATATTAACATTTTCCCAAGAAAATTCTTTTTTTTTTTTTATTTTAAAAAAGGGATTAATATTTTTCCTAATTTTGGGGTGTGTGAAAGCGGAAGTTTGGTGAAGTGCCAACTGGTAGCGTCGATTCCCCACTTTTAATTTTTTCCTAATTTTTGTTTTATATAAATATTTGTGAATGACGTGTCAATTTCTGATTGGTTGGTGTAATATATTTGCCACTCGATTTCACTTTTTCTTTGTAATCATTAATAGTAGTTACCTAATTCAAAAGTCAATTAGTTTTCACTATAATAAAATAATATTTTTTTATTATAAAAAATAAAGGGGTAATTTTTGTCATTAATGCAATGTAATATTTATTGCCTTTTCTCGTCTTGGCATGTTACTATTGGTCACAATATTATTTGCCATTAAATATTTATCTTAGACCCTAAAAATTATGTATTTAGATAATAAAAAAAATATTTAATTCCAATTCCGTCGTGAAGGATTCGTGTGAGATATGGAGGATCGAAACATTCTTTATAAGAGAGAAAACTTCTTTTCTTTCTAACCCATTTTAAAAAAATTTAAAATTTTGAAGATAAAATAAAAAAATATATTTAAAAAAAAATTGACAGAGGAGAGAGAGAGGAGTTAATGTGGAGCCCAAAGAAGTGTTTAGGGTTTGGCATCTGAAATGACTTGACATTCAATGGAAGCACAAAATTACTAATCCTCATCTTTGAGCAACTTCATTCCAAAAAGTACATTTTTTTTCAATTTTTTTTTCTTCCAAATTATGGGTTTTGTCATTTAATACTTCTCGGGTCCGTACTTGTCTTAGAATATAAATGTCATATTTTCAAGCTTAATAGGTCTCGATGTACAATTAGTTAATCTCTGCTTAACAAATTGCAATACATATGTTAGCTGGATAAACTTCTCACTACTAGAGGTTGATTAACGACCCTTTAGTAAGTATCAAAATGATATCATAAACATGAGGAAGACTAACATTATACTTAAAACAACTATGATACTATGAAGTTCAATGATGATAAACAACTTGCTAACCGAGTTTAGTCGCAACCTCTAGTAACTCTAACATAGTCTCTCGGTAATATAAAGAGGATCATAGATGATTATACATTACATAAACCTCATTCGCAAAGAATAATAATCAACACCATTAGAGAGTGACACTTTTTTTTTTAATTATGGAGTGAGATGAACAAATGAACTATTAGTTTAAACATAGTAATTAGTGTATTCATTCGAGACATCCAGATTGCCTAAACTCTAATTTCATAATTGTGAAAGAGATGGTGATGTGGTCGGTAAATATTTGGATCCTATAAAAGTAATTATTTCTATTTAGAAGAAAAATTATAGTGAACATGTTAATAAAGACAATTATTGGGGTCCTTAATTAGGACGACTGCTAATAGTAAATTAGCATCTAATAAGGATTTCCAAAGTCATGTCAGCATTCATACAACAGTGAATGTGTGATCAGACACCTTACGAGCCACTTTAGACATATTTTTTACATCATCAATCGAAAGGTCAAAAGTTCAAATCATCTGTAAACGTATTTTACGGGAAAAGAAACAAAATTATTCATTAACACGTGACATAAATGATTGTTTCCATTTCAAAATAGCACAACCCCACAAACTCCTTTAGACATTATCTTTTTGCTTCTTTCAAAAGAAGGCATCATTCTTATATTAAGGGGTAAAAAAAAAGGATTAGTAGTCAAAATTCAAATCCCAGGACGCAAAGAGAATCCCGAGAGAGAAAATTTGCTGCTCTTTCTCTATGATGTTTTTGGCCTTTTTCAAGAGTCAAAAGTTTGTGTACGCTTCTGTCTCCCCTGTGGGGAGTTCTTCTGGAAAACATCGCTATTTTGACCAGTTTCAAGGTGAATAAGAAACAGCCAAACTGATCTGCTTGAGGCTTCTGTGTTTAACACTATCCTTAAAGAAAAAGAACCATCAAGAAATTGAGAAACTACAGCAGTTCTGTTCTTTATTCACTTCTTTTGTACTTGTCAATGATAAATCTTCACAAGATTCATTCCAGTTAAGCATTTTTTTAGAGTCATGATCTTATATAACACTGCAAAAACTTACCTTTTGAACTTACATTGCTGCATTCAGTGCTCGACCGCCCGAGCTTCTGGGTCCTTTCCTTCCCCAACGACAAGAAAATGAAAATTTTGATCCTTTCAACAGAAAATAAATGGCATCTTGCATTTTGATCACCTGAAGCATTGAGAGTTTGAATGTTGTCTGACCATATGGATAAATTCCAAAGCAAGAATAGATTGTTCAACTGCTCTTACAAACATATAATAGAGAAGTACTCAAGGGTTTTGCCAGTTTTTCCAATTTTCTGCTGATACATTTTATCAAGATATCTATACATTGTTCTATTGTCAGTCACCATTATTACATGTTCCAAATTTTAGGGAGAAAATTTCATTCCACAACAGTAATGATTGGTGTCTAATCACCATCTACTAATATAATAGATCGATTAGATGTATTAAAGAACTACGTAATCCTCATTAAAATTATGACGTTTTACATCAATTGGGCAAACCAAGGCTTCTATGTGGGGCCACAAGGAGCCAATGGAAAGATGTTTGATCATACACGTAATGAAGTATGTGGAAAGGAATGTAAATAGAAATTTGATGTTTAAGAAAACTTACGTGTTTTTTCTACAAACGCCTGAGGATCATCACCCCAAAACTGATGCCCAGGAAAGTAGCAATTGCAATACCGAAAATGCCAGCAAGAATAGAAGGAACCACCAAAGATCTCCAACCCTTGGCAGTTGCCATTCCACATGCTGTTGTTGGGCCTCCAATGTTGGCATTTGAAGCCAGAAGCAACAGCTTTAAATCAATGCTGAATAGCTTTCCAAAACCAAGAATTACAAGAAGATGGACTGTAACTTGAACTAGAGCAAACATGAAAATACTTGGTGCATTGTTGATGACATACCACACACTCCCACTAGCACCGACAACCGCAAAGAACACCTGTTCATGTCAGATCAAATAAACAAGCCAATTGAACTTTCAGGTGTTCCTCAGTTAACTTAAAAATTTCATGTCATGCTATGTTTTACCCAGATCTACAAGTTCTAGAAGTTTTTGTTTAGAACATTTAAAATGATTTTTTAAACAAGGATAGTGTCATTTCCCTTACTTTCCTGAGCTCAAATTTATTCTTTCATCAGCTCAAACTAAAATAGCAGGATCGTGTTCAGGACATGCCCTATTAGGGAACAAACTTGGTCCCAACATGCATGTTTTTCATAAAGTAATAATGGCCGACCGTCCGTTACTGTTTTTTATTTGTTTACTCCAGGTCCCACCCAACATGTACTTTTTTCACCTAGTCAAAGCAACAGCTCCTTGAAGCCTTCCCCCACCCTCTCAGTAAGCAATGGAGATAACTAAAGGTGAGCCAAATCCATAGGCCAGACAGAACAAAAGCATACAACTTTTGGGCGGGAAAATCAAAGTGCTCTCTACAGTACTACTGTAAATTTTCTGTGGTTAATAACGAGCAGGAATAGAAAACGGTGCACAAGCTTCCGTGAGTGATGCAACTAACTAAAAATACATACCTGCATAAGAATCAGGGCAATGGTATCAGCTGCGGGTGCTAAATAACTGAACTGTTTTGGGAAAACGGTAGCTAAAATGACAACAACTGCAGTTATCCCAGGAAGATTGGCACCTTGAATTTTACATAAATTTGTAATCCACGTGACAAACTTGCATATTGCAAATGATGCAAAAACAGCCGTAGCAGTCGGCAACACAGGGAGCTTCGTGCCGTTATCAGAGTCCATATCAGTTGAAGCATCTGGGAAAGTTTTCAAATTTTAATTGAGAAATCATAGATGTGGTAGTAGGAAACCAGGAATTGTACGGTGCTATTTTCTCCAAAAACTTTCAATCTTGAAAGGATATAAATAGCAAGGGTTACAATTACACATGGTTAATGGTGCATGTGTAGGATGGTTTGTCATCGTCTTTTTTCTGGGCAAGAAACTAAGCTTCCATTGAGCACAATGAAAGAATACACGAGGATATACACACACACACACACACAAAAAAAAAAAAAAAAAAAAAAAAAAAAAAAAAAAAAAAAAAAAAAAAAAAAAACC